TTTTCATTGCAGTATGACCCAGTCGACAACAAAAACCTACTTGAACAATGTCAATAAAGTTGAAATTGATGAAACTCTACTATACATTTTAAATATAGTTTTATTTACCAATGTTATTGTATTTTTAACAGGGTTCTATGGAAGATCAGTGTTTTTTCACTGAATTGGCCATTCTGTGTGGTCAAACAATGAATAAAATAAATAAATAAAATAAATACATACTTAACTCTCTGAAAGATAACATCTCCTTCATCAAATCTTAAAATTATCCATCACTATCACTGACACTGGTTACTCTTCTTGTAGGGGTTTGCTGGATGACCATGACTTTCACAAAGCTCTCAGAGACATCCACAAGGAGCCAATACCTTACTTCTGTCAGTTCAGTGAGAGACCACCACGCAGCACCATGTCAGAACAGCTAAAAATGGAAGAAGATGACGGAAGACCAAAGACTCCTTCACCTACCGATGAAGCAGCCACAATATCAGCTGCTTCACAGATTGCTACAGAAGACAGGCCAGATTCTAAACAAGTAAGGCAGATTTATTTGCTCTATTTAGGCAAGAAATTTAATAAATTTATTACATTTTGGCTATTTTCATGACAATAATTTATCAATGTTGTAAGGAATAGCTGTAAAGTTTTATAATAAAAAAAAAGTCTATATAAAAATATTTTTTTATTTATTATTAATATTAATAACAGTTTATGAAATTCTTCATTATAAATGTCATGAATTTAAAAAAATTCTAGTAAAACCTGAAAATACACAAAAAATGGCATGGATTTTTGGATTGATATCTTTCATCTACAATAAAGAATTACTAGAAAAATAAAAAAGTTTGTGGCTACAGGGTACTTACTGTATACTTGTATTGCAATATACTGTAAAATACTTTATTTTCACTTTGAATTAATTTTCGCTATTTTTGCTGAAGGAATGATTCAGTGAAAATAAAATCCAGCTAAAATAAAGTATTTTACAGTATCTGGCTTGAGAACCATGCGACATATTAACTTTTTTAAGACTAATATTTACTTTCTTATTTCTCTAGAAGAAGCCGCCAAGTGCCACTTCCACTCCGACTGTACGAACAGTGACACTGAGAGAACCCTCACCCGAAGAAAGCTCTCATCAAACGTCGACTGATGAACATTTAATAGATCGAGAAGAAGGCCAAGATGACCCCTTGGAGGAGGCTGATCTTCCTGTAGCACCCTCTCCCGAAGAAGATCTGCCAATTGATACAACAGTGGAGGAGGGTCTAGAAGTTGCTGAGAACGTTGTATATCAACAGAGTCTGAAGGAAGAAAGGCATTTGATGGACAGACAAAACATTAAAAGGTACGACATACTATTTTGATAATTATGTAACAACTCCAGTTCTGATACATGACATGTCGGATATTGTGTCCACCTACTATCAGAGAGATTGTCGGTTTGACTCTGGTGGTCAACTGCACATTCAGCAGTGAAAATAGTTATAGTGTTTGTGTACTGTTTCCACAGTGCATATATATAAAATTTACATTATCCTTGTTGCAACGAGTAACAATTACGGCAGAATGACTGAACTTACTCTCAAAAAAGGGGCCTGTGTACTATCACCAATTTATGATTTCACGCTCAAACAGCCCATATGGTGAATTAATTTGCTAATAATACATCAAACTTCGAGCTATTCAAAGTTGAGTTGCATTTTCAATCGACTGTCGGTGATTCCTTGCTATTAAAATGACTACACATCATCATTTGAGACAACAGGACTGGGCTGAGCTACTGATTATAAAAGTTGGTACCGATAGTCATGTGGTAACATTGAGTACTTTGTTGGGTTCAGTGTTTGCATCTCACAGACATGCATAGAGTGTGTATGCAAATAAACAAAAAAAATAATGTTATTGCTCAGTTTGTGGATGACACCCATATTACTGATTGTCCTCCATCATCGTCAACTTTACAATTTCAACTTCTTCTTCAAAACCGCAAGTCAGAATGTTTTCAAATTTGATATGAAAGTACCTTGGATGGTTCTTTCTCAGATTTGTTCATTTCATGTCAAAATCTCAAATTCTCTATTTTTGGTGAATATTTTTATGGAGCTACCTCAGCCGACAGGCTGGTTGTTATGTCTGTTTCTCCAGTTTGGCTACTATTTTTAGAAAATGATAGCCCTTATATAAGACACTGTCAACATTGTGCTACCAGTGTTCATTTTGAACCCTGCGATGGAATTAATGTTATGTCAAAGCAATACTGATCAACTTAGGTATATTTAGTATGGTTTTACTAAATTTGAAATTTTTCCATCTTTTTTCAGATTACCTGAATTTGGTTCTATCCTTGAAGCTGTTATAGAGAATGCGATACATAACATTGTATCGGAGGCCAGTTCTGGACAGATCAACTTAACAGCGCGGCCTAGGATGGTGGCTCTTCCACCGAAACCATCAACATCAAGTCCTGTTACAACAGCCCAAGGAAACGTCCCTCCTAGTTTGCGCATTAGTGCTACCAGTACACCAATATCAGCTCGAACAAAGACCGAACTTGATTCCGCTAGAACAGAAACACAACGAGCTGAGAGTGCTGGCTCAAAGGTATCCCATGGAATCTTATCAAGAGTTAGTTAAAAGTGGAGGAAATCTGGGAATCAGACGTAAATACATTGAAAAATTCATGGTGGTTCATCCAGAGGAATTGTAGCATCGCATTTCAATATTACACCAAATTTCTTACTAAAAGCAACAAGTTTGTGAATTACGTGAAAAGTTTCGTCTTTACAACTATTTTTAAAATAAAATATCTTGTCTATACTATTATAATATTTTGTAATTTTGATGAAATTTGTAAATATTAATTGTTGACTTATCTATAATAATAATCGCTCTATATATACTTTGCATTTAACCACTGGTATATTTGGAAACAGCAGTGTTCTTATCTTTATAGTTGTGTAGCAATTTTTATACAAGCTGGTTCATTGCATACATTCCAATGCATAATATGGTAACAGAGATTGTCTGGAAGCAAACCTGTATTGCACACTGTATATTATTATTAAGCCGTGCATCTCTGTGATTTCTTGTGGTTTGTTTTGCAATACTTGTATCCCCGGGCCATATATCCTTTCCGTTACAAGTTTAACACCGTATCTTGTATGTCTCTTAAAGTAAGAACGCATATTTGATGTGTGTGTCGTGAAGCACAAGTATCAGGAACACCTGGCTGCATGAACAAGCCGAGATGTGTGCTATGCAGACACTTGTAGTGAATATTTGTACCCCTTGGCAAGTATTACCAGTGCTGTTTACCTCTGTACACGAGTGCAGCATTCCCATCAGGCTGTATGCCATAAACAAAAGTTTACCTTGTGTTGCCTGTAGAGGGCAGTTATACGACAATTCTTACAATTATCCAGTCTGGTATATGTGCTATACCCAGTGAGTTGATTCATACTTTTGTATTTGTTTTATGTGTACAATAAATCTAACCATACTGTGGATATATCTCTACACTGTTATTGATGAATGGTGTCATGGCTCAACATTATGATTGAATAACAACTACCCGGTAGTAACCGCAAGTCTGGCACCCTCATTGTTTCCTGTGGAAGAGGCCTCAGAAAGATGCTCCTGGAAAAATCAATTTATTATCAAAGGTTTAACTCGTTTCCAGAGACGAATCCTGTATCCAACATACTCTGAAGGGTTTCAGGGAATCATGCAATTTTATTACCCTTTGCTAAATATGTTCCATCGCTCCGCAAAACATCAATAATTGTTAGCAGAATATGTAATTCTCATCAGTCAAACTGGTTACCATTTTGTTTTCTAATTTTTTTCTGTCACACTAATGTTATAGATCAAAATGTTTTTATGGTGGGGAGATGGCTATGAGAAGGTTTTATCTGACTGAAAAACAAATCTAAATTACGAGGACACAAGTCAAATTAGGAAACAATATTTAGTATAGAGTTCTGCAATGGAGCATTCTGTGTGGTTTAGAAATTCTTGGTAGATTTTAACATATAGTTAATAAAAGCATCTCTGATTCCAACATATATATAAATGTGTGTGCGCCACAAAAATACTAATCAGAAACAGTGTCGTCCCCTATCAACAACAGGATTGTCATGAGCATGTGCAACTAGTGACACATGGTGGAATTCTGTATGGCTTGATTAATAAATTACATACACACCACTCTACTGATGTTCTCCGACATGCACCATCTGAATAACATCGTCGCATTCATGGAAAGCAAACGTACATTCTGATAACTGACTGATCACATTTGATTCAGCGTATTAATTGGTTGAATATACACTTTGTTTTCGGACATTTTTACTTTCTCTTCTGCCCATATAGGTAACATTTGGATAACCAAGTATATGTTTATTTCAGAATACCATGTTTATGTCAGAATACCATCGACAGTGTGAGCAAAAAGTACTTTGAACTGTTGCCAGTTACGATCAGACTTCACAAAAAAAAAAAGATACTTTAAATCATACACAAATAATTTAAAAGACAAATTTTCTTGAATGTTATATTATTTACACTTTATTTTCATTTCTATAAAACTATTGAAAAAATAAATAAAAACAAATACATGAAATAGATTATAAAACCAATTAAGTAGAAATTAAAAACAAAATAGTACAGTATTTGCTTTACTTGTAGCAATACCGTTTCTCTTTTTCACTCCATAACCCAATCAATGTCCACAGATAAATAATCAATAAATACGTATTTTTAAAAAGTGGACATTTTTTATTTATTTGAACACCAGATTTTTTTAATCAGAATCACAACTTTCATCAGATACATTGGACGGCTTTTACACAGTGGATCATAAAAGGTATGGAAGGTCAGAATAACTGTCTTTTATTTCTTTAATTTTAAAAAAGCACTGGAGGAAATCACTCGGTGATACCTTCAAGGGTCCCATGTGATATAGATACATCAATGAATCACTATTCAAACTTGGTAGCCACTCAAATAGTCACCACCAAGAAAGCAGGGAAAGAGTCAACCAGCAGCAATCTGCTAATCTTTTGAAATTATTATTTCTGTGTGTGTACAAGCAGCTTCTTTCTGATCTATCTCATTAAATCTTTGACTGTCATTCTATCTTGCTAAATCAGTGAATGTAGATCTAACTAAATCAGTGACTGTTCAATTATCTCACTGAATCAGTGACTGTTGATCTATCTAAATCAGTGACTGTTGATCTAACTAAATCAGTGACTGTTGAATTATCTCACTAAAATCAGTGACTGTTGATCTATCTCGCTAAATCAGTGACTGTTGATCTAACTAAATCAGTGACTGTTGAATTATCTCACTAAAATCAGTGACTGTTGATCTATCTCGCTAAATCGGTGACTGTTGATATATCTCACTAAATCAGTGACTTGCTCTATCTCACTAAATCAGTGACTGTTGATATATCTCACTACATCAGTGACTGTTGATATATCTCACTAAATCAGTGACTTGCTCTATCTCACTAAATCAGTGACTGTTGAATTATCTCACTAAAATCAGTGACTGTTGATCTATCTCGCTAAATTAGTGACTGTTGATATATCTCACTAAATCAATGACTTGCTCTATTTCACTAAATCAGTGACTGTTGATCTATCTCACTAAATCAGTGACTGTTGATCTAACTAAATCAGTGACTGTTGATCTATCTCACTAAATCAGTGACTGTTGATCTATCTCACTAAATCAGTGACTGTTGATCTATCTCACTAAATCAGTGACTGTTGATCTACCTCACTAAATCAGCACCTACCAATAAAGATTCATATCACTAAATCATATTCTTTGAATCAGTAACTCTTGATCCTACAGTGATTCAATGACTTTCAAAATACCAAACACCTGAATATTAAGTAATCATGGTAACTACACATGTTTGGTAAATGATGATGAATTTGGATGTTAAGTTGGATAATTAATATTAGTTGGTGGAACAGTAAATTGATAAATGTTAAAAGTACCGCAACTAAATGTACATCATTTTAAAACACCTGTAAATGACTGTTACTGTAAAATACATTATTTTAGCTGGAATTCATTTTCACGGAAAAGGTTTTTTTGGACGTTTGTATGGAGTTTATTTTTACTGATTGTTGATGACTTGAATAGCACAAATGAATTACATATTTTGCGATATTTAATTACTTAGCAGAATAATTTAAAAGAAATTTGGATTAACATTTTACTGTGATGCACATCAAAAGCATGACATGAAGTTCAACTGACAGGTGATATTTCAACAATATTAAATGTTCATCTCCCACTAAAAACTATTGGACAAATTATTATTGATATTACGTGAAATTAAATGCTTTTTAGTACATTGATATAAATTTTTTAAATACATTTAGACAATTTCACAGATATACAAGATGGAATGCCTTTGATTACTGAACTGACAATTCACATCTGGTAATAATCTAAGAAATCCAACAGATTAGGCAAGAAACGGATACTGGATTGGTATGATTGGCATACTCAGTTAACTTCCCAGGGATGTATCTCAGTGTTAATTTAAAGTTAGTTCTGACAACTTTGAACACCACCTTGATTGTATTTGCAATATTGAGAATTACTACAAAGTGATAAAAAACTTCACTGAGTTTTTAGAAGATATGACATGTGAGAAAATAAACACGCTCAGACTCCATGCTGACGTTCGTTCATTTCAGCCTCGCCTTGGCTATCCCAGAGCGGTTCATCACTCTTCTTAAGGTGATCTGAAAGCAATATAGAAAGTTGAAGGTTTATACCATCTGAACCAAGTACAGTGTGCTTCACAGGGGGCTTTTGTATGGGTAATCAAAAAGTTCCTAAGGTTTTATAAAGAAGACAAAAAAAAGCTATAGAAAGTACCACATGGATGATTTGAACTGATGGCAACGACACCTAATAGCAGAGTGACACAGCCAAACATGACTCACTCCAAAAAAAAGGATCCTTGAGGCAGTTGTAGCTGAATTCAAATTGTGTACTACAAAACATGTTACATATATGCAATGCATTATGGGATAAAACCTATTATTGCTCTGAAAACTCATTAAGTTAAATTTAAATTTTCTTAAAAGTTTTCACAATATTAGGATTCAAATGAATAATAATAATATACAACATTTTCTTCTCATGTCACAAAGCAAAATTTTGAGATATGAAGAAATAATGTCACCATATAAAACAGTATATAAAATACTAGTTTTGATCATTTTCCATGATATTTTTGGGTTCGTCTCTCAAAATAATTTATGGTGATACAAATTTTGTTCTCCATTTCAATATCCTGATGGCATGAACCCATAATAATGAAAATATGACAAACATGACATAATCTACAAATTTGATTTAAACCACCTATAACTTATTCTACACCAACCCAACACGACCAATTGATACTCCTTAACTCGATAGTACAATGAAAGATGTCATTTACCAGCAGCAAATACATCTGATATAATTAATACTTATCAAAGGAAAACTAAAAAAATTTTGGTGGAGTAAATTAAGGAAATAGAACATGTCAAAGTAAATGTCATACAAAAAAAAATTACCTAATGTGTGATAACACATTTGACAAAAATTCATATTCCATACATTTAATATGAGCAGTATAAAAATCTAATACACGTAATTTTTCTTTCATTGAAACCCTTAGTTTTTTGAACACATACCTTGTGTGTAGTCTGTTGTTGATGTCAATGATATGATAATCCAGCCAATGACAGATCCTATAACTCTCATTAAGTTAAGTATTCTCCATACATAGAGTCTATATTTGGAATCTTCACCTTCTGGCCTGTAATTCCAAAAACAGATTCATAAATCTGTGCAAAGCAAGAACCACCAGCATACTATTGCCTCAAGTGCAAAATGCGTACAACGTTTGAAATTTGTGGTGGATGAAGGTCATCGTCATGGATACCCTGTCCGATTTTTTTTTGCTGCTTGAAGAAGTTCAATGAAGCCCCGGAAAATACTGACAATTTAAGAATGACAGTGTATTGACACATGGTATATCACATACTTTGTGGCCAGGGTACCTGGCAGAGCTACATAATACACACTCCATATCAAATCAAATCAAACCATAGTTTTTAGGAAAATACAAACAAGGAATAATTTTGAAAATGTTGCACATAAATTATGATATACAAAAAATTCCAAATGTGAATAGAGTCTTGTACTACTTACCACAATGGCTCTTCTAAACACTCAGAATCACTGAAATAAGTAAAAAAAACTTTAATTAATCTCCAACTGAAAATGAATGGAATATGGAACGAGGCCTGTGTCTTTGTTTGCCATCATGTTAAACTAACTGATGGGTTCATACAAGCACATTTCTGTTGTGAGTCCTGACAACAAAATACAATGTTTAGTACTGTAAAATACATTATTTTGGCAAAATTAATATGTTAACGAGTTTTAAATACAGGGGAGCTAGTGGGCCCTTTGGGAGGTCAGTGATTTAAAGGTCAAATCTGCATATTTCAATTGTGACCAATCATATGGACTATGCTGCCCTATTAGCATAAATAAATAAACTATCTGTTTGCCAGCAATTTTTAATTTAGTATTCAGTTCACATTTACATAGCATTTGCATAAATTTGCATATTCCTTGTGAAAACACTGGTTTCTTAGTTCATAGTGCTTTAGTAATAAACTACCCCCTATATGGATCCAATACATCTATGTGTATATGTGCATTATTCTCTTTGACCTCCCAAACTGTCTGTCCTATTGCTGCGGTGCAGTGCCCTCACAGGCCATACCTGGATTTAAGGCAAAGTTAATATGTTAACGAGTTTTAAATACAGGGGAGCTAGTGGGCCCTTTGGGAGGTCAGTGATTTAAAGGTCAAATCTGCATATTTCAATTGTGACCAATCATATGGACTATGCTGCCCTATTAGCATAAATAAATAAACTATCTGTTTGCCAGCAATTTTTAATTTAGTACTCAGTTCGCATTGCCAAGCCAGCCACAGACGTCGTGTTTTTTCTCTCCCACCCACACCACCCTCTTTCACATGGGTAGGTCATGATATTTACCATGGGTGTGCGATTCCTTTTATTTCTAAGTCTTGCAATGTCAAAGCCAGTTGATTGCTTTTTCTTACTTTACCAATGATCAACATAGGTTGATTGCTGTATTAGCTTTATTAAGAACCAACACAGGTTGAGCTATGTTTTCTTTTAAAAATTTTCCAATAATCAACACAGGTTGATTGCTGTCTTTTAGCCTTTTATTAATAATCAACACAGGTTGATTAGTATGTCTCTTTTAAACTCCAAGGGGAACTTTAGTCCATTAGTTTAGTTTGTAGTTTTTAGATATGTACGTTACAAGTGTTTTCAAAGTCAGCATGTTCACATTTACATAGCATTTGCATGAATTTGCATATTCCTTGTGAAAACACTGGTTTCTTAGTTCATAGTGCTTTAGTAATAAACTACCCCCTATATGGATCCAAGACATCTATGTGTATGTGTGCATTATTCTCTTTGACCTCCCAAACTGCCTGTCCCTATTGCTGCGGTGCAGTGCCCTCACAGGCCATACCTGGATTTAAAGCTGGAATTAATTTTCGCTGAATCGACTTTTTGAGTGTTTTGTATGGAATTTATTTTCCCTGATTTTTGATGAGTTGAATGTAGAATATAGGATATAAAATTAATTCCAAGCGAAAATAAAGTATTCCACAGTAAGTGGAAAATCAATATAGCAAATCAATTATAAGAAATAGTTTGTTACATGTATAACAACCACTAGAGGGAGCATTCTGAAAGTCAAAATAGTTCATATTTCATATTGTCTCAAACTCAAATATAAGCTTGCAACAATAATCTTGTAACCAATAGTTACAGTCAATGTTGAAATACATACCATAGAGGGGGATCTGTAGTGCCATATAAACCAATCCTATCATCTAATGCTGCTGTGCTGACGGAGAATATCAACGTTATCAAATAAACTGAAATAATAAATATAATGGATCACGTCAGCAGACAATTATCTGTTTTGCTTTTATACAATGTGTTAACTTTAGATGTTCAAACTGGTTTACAGGTACAAATTATTGACTGCAGGTAATAATGTAAACCCATCAGCAAACATTTTCTAATATAGTCATACTGTTAATTTTGTAACTCACCAAGAATTGAAATAGCACCAGACTGGAATGTTATAAGCCCTTTGAAGAATTTTCGATTTGGTCTTGCTAAATCATACCTGAAATGTAAATTATTATTAGTGTACACATACATATGTCACTGCAATGGTTATGAGATACCGGGCCTAGAGGTTTTCACTCAAATGCTTTGCATGTAGGCATTTGGTATATTACATTTTTGGTAATTCTTTTTTTTTTTGAGGCAGTTTTATGTTCTGTAACATCTTTTTTTATTTTTTTATGTTACTTAAAGTTGAGAAAGTTGGTCATAAATCACATAAATCGTTCATTGGTTTATTATGTAATATCATGAAGCTACTGACACATGGTACCATAGAACAATTCCATAGAATACAAGTAATAAAGAAAATTTCTATTTTTTGACACTTTTTAAAACTAATTTTTTTTAAATAATCGAGGACAACAAAAAGTACCTTATCATTAACAATATTTGTTTTCAGCCTATGTCACCAGTCTACAATTTGAGATATGACATAATATTTCTGCCATAGAAGCCTATGGTAAAAGCATTAAATTTTGGTATTATTGTTTCTATAGCCCTGAATTTCAAGTTTTTTAATACATTGCTGTTTAGTTGTAATATATGACCTTTACTGTTTTTTTGAGAAAGGAAAAAAAAAAATGTTTTACACAGTTCATTAACAAAAATACTGTTTACAAACTAATTTTCGTGGCGATTTTTACGTTCAGAGATGAATTTTTTTTTCCATCGCAAACTTAACAGCTGCAGCATCAGATGTAAACAAAGGCAAGCGTTCTAATGAGAAGGCAGCGAATACGATAATCTGGATTGCCTTCAATGTTGTTGACGTTGTTTTACCTCGCAATAAAAGAATTTTAGAATATTGAGTGCATATACACATGTACATTTCAAAATGAATACAAACATTTATATAAGGCTAAATTCTACTGTTTTTGATGCAAGTTATATAATACTAGTAATGAATCTTACCGATCAAATGCTGACACTGCACACACCGCCAGTAAGAAATAATACATACACATCGCAGGGACGGATAATTTATAATAGTTCTGTAGGAAATTAATATCACCCTCACGGTCGATACTTTCTTCCCCTTCACTCAGGGAATATACCACGATACACTGCCACAGTGCGAATCCAGCCAACAGACCGTGACAAAATAACGATATGGTCATTGTAGCTCGATGAACAGACTGAAAATAGGACAAAGAATGGGTAAGTGCGGTCAACGTTTAGTAACGTTATATTCCAACACCCAGAAACTAGGATATACTGTGTTTTCTACATTTGTATTTATATTGTGAACCATTTAATTCCATCACTAGAAATAGACAAAAGATGCAAATGGCCACTGAGGTCTTGCTGATAGCGAGGTAGCCCCAGGAGTTTTTCCCTCTCAAATTATACATGATTCTGGAGAGAATGAAATACTATTTGTGAGACAAAAACAATTAATTTGGCTTTTAACTTATTGACAGCCATTTGAGTCTAAAGTCTGAATTTTCAAAAGTGATTAAATTAAAGATACAATATGGATAGACAAAAACAAATATTTTTTTTTAATAGTGTTGTTTGATAGCACATGTTCATAACCGGGATTGGATTATAATATATTGCAAATTAAAAACGTTTTTATCACACAGCAATATTTGTCTGATGAAAAATGATGCATGTGTCACAAGTACACATGTATGTTAAAAAAGGCGAGCCTTTTATCGAATGAATACTTAGCTGTGGGTTGGAAAAAAAACGTTTTTTAATAGTTCATGTTAAATCATAATTAATGTTTTCACAGACTCTCAGTGTCAAACAGCGATAATAAAAATGTTGTGTTCATTTTCATATTGTATCTTTGAGGACCAGTGAAATGTTGATCACCACAAAAACTAGGGTACTGGTACAAAAATCACCACCGTGCTAGGGATCTGTAAGGCAATGTAAAATTTAAAATGCTTCAAAATTTTAAGACGTTCTAGAAAAGTAAAAATTTTAAAAAAAGGTTGAACTAAAGTTTGGGTGGGAAAATAATCATGTTCAAATACTGTGGAATACTTATTTTCACTGAAAAGGCGTTTTGGGCGTTTTGTATGGAATTTATTTTGACTGATTTTTGATGAGTGTAATTGTATTTTATTTTTATCACGGAATCACCCCTCCAGCGAAAATAAAGTATTCTACAGTAGTTAGAACTAAACATGCTCATGATAATATTACTTTCAAGTTAAAGAATGGTGGTCGTCATGCAGAGTTCTATTAAATATGGGACTCATAGCGTTGTAGATAATACATGTAGAATACTAGTATATTGTTTATTTATACAAAATTCCAACAACATGCTGCTCAACGATCATCGTCCCTTAAAAAAAACATACAGAAAGCACTTCCTCTAAACCATCTAAACAAATGTCATTTACACCATAGACCTTGTTCTCTAAGGTCTGTTTACGCCAACAATGGCTTAAAACCATAAATTTTCCTGAGGAAATCATTTAAAAAAACAAAATGTCACCCCCCCCCCCCCTCCTCACACACACACACACCCCCACACACAAATGTAAATTAGACATCAGGAATGAATATTCCTAAAATGTGATATAACATCTGACAAATTTTGAGATTTTTCATTTCCCAATATTTGCAAAGTAGCTAAACAAGTTTAAAAATAGCTCAGAAAAACAATGCAGTATTAGGCAATGTGGATGTAAAGTCATTTTATCTTTAATGGAAACCCCATACTACAATAAATACTGGAGACAATCTGTCTTTTCATTTCACTGTACCATATTTGCTCTATTAGTAGTGCACATGCTTACGTAAATTACGATTCAATGATTCAGTATACAATCAATATACTTTAAATAGAGCAAATACCAAAATCAATACGTTTATAAATTTATAAACAGCTACCAAGTGTACTAATATACTCTCAATTTTGAAAATTCAGGAAAACACCACAGTGCCCTTAGATCTAGTGTATTAACCAGTAGTAATCCCGATTTCAATTTGTGTACCACACCATAATCTACCCGCATGCAGAGCAAAGTTACAGGCGCCATATCAAATGTGCAAAGCGCAACAACTGCCTTCATTTAACGAGAATGAAATAAAAGCAACAGAAACATACAGCTCGTTTGCGAATCTCCTCGACAACGTCAGGAGGAAAACCTTGTTGCTGTTCGTATTAGAATGGAAAAAGTAGAAAAAAAAGTAGTTACAAATATTGAGATAGGATTTAAAGTGCAATCATAGTGAAGAGAAATGCTGAAAGGAAATGATAGGAATATTGATAATGAAGACTTTCTGTCAGCAACATTGGACTGAGAGTATTTTATAAATTTACAATGCATTGCACCAGCAAGCCAAATCTATAATTTGTACGAAACTTGTTAAAAACATTTATTTCTTCGCTGTTGACCAATACATGTGAAATACACATTTGAAGTTGATGGCGCAGGTGTTCACTTGTGTAAAAAAGTAAGACCTAAAACATGATATGTAGTGACTATGTTCATCGTTATGACATTTATGTTCACGACTATGTCATTTCCTTTCATCGTTATGTCATTTCTATTCATCATTATGTCACTAAAGTTCATCAATGAGTTATTTATGCTCATCGTCGTTTCTGATCATTGTTATGACATTTACAGTGATCGATGCTTTATACATTCATCATGTCATTTCCATTATTTGTTATGTCATTTATGTTCATTATGTTATGCCTTTGTTGAGAGCTACACACAACCAGTCAGTGTACTAAATCTAGAATTCATTCTTGAGAAGTGTCACTCTTAGTTCTTATTTCATTAATCTGATATGTAACTGCAGCATTGTGTCACATACAAAATCGGAAAGCGAAACTCTTGCAAAATTTAATGATATGGTAGTAAATACTTTCTTAAAACATGCCTCCCAATTACGGAGCACTTCTGTTAGATAAAAATGAAGCATACAGGTGAAGGCAATTGAACTCAACAACTTTGTTTGGCTGTGTAGTGGTTCATCTAGAATATTTTCTCAATGCAATGTTCATTGATCAACCTGATATTGACACTTTGATCGGTTTTCGTGTCGCCTATTTACATCCCAGGAGCACATCACCACTAAACAACACAAAACAATTCATAAGAATGATGCATTGAATAATGATTGGAAGATGATCCCAGACTGACAAGATGTCTGTAACAAAATGGTGTTGTAATAATAAATCATGTGTAGCAGTAAGAGTCAAATAGTGATGTGTACGTACCAACGCCAACTCTGGTGAAGTCAAGGTAGTTACAATTTCATGTTTGTCTTCATCTGTTTCTTTCACTTGAGCAAGACGTGATTTGTGTTCACTTTTAAAGCCACCTACAAATAGGAAAAGTTTACAGCATGAACGACAATGACAACAGTATAATCTAGTTGAAGTAGTTTTTTTTATTATAGATCAAAATACAGAAAATGCCCCCCATAAAATACTTTAATAGTTTAATCAAATTTTGTGCAATTTCACACTATTTTTTCATGCTTAGCCCAACAGGGTGGGAAATAAATTTTAGATCCACATTGTTTTTTTTATAAGCTAAGTGTACACTAGTAACTACTCACTCTTTCTTTCTAAAAATAGTCTTCCAGTTGGCTGGCTAGGCAATACTGTTGTGTGGGATGGCATTTGTGGATCTAATGTTCTGTCTTTATCAGCAACAACCAAGTCATCCTCATGTACCATAAAATCTACAGACACTGCAAACGAGAAAAAGAGTGTTTTACAGCTAAGACGTCAAAGCACACTTTTTTACTCAATGTGACACACTGGGATAAAATTGTTTATAAATAGAGCTATGTTCCACAAACACACCAGTCAGCCATTTTGAATCTGATCTGATAAAAAATGATATGCACATGTATACAAAATTTTAAATATGCCCATGCACAATTGAGATGTAACAATAGCAGAAATGTTGATGAATTTTTAGCACAAAAATGGCCACCATTCAGCCATCTTAAATTTATTCACAAAACAAATGCATTTGCATATGTATGATATTATGTGTGATGTATGTGCAAGGTTTCAATGTGATAGGTCAGGGAATATCAGAGATGTGTCCTCGGGGAGGCATTTGTTAACAAAATGATGTGCATCTTGGTCCCATAAGGCCAAAAAAAAATTGTTTTGTTGCCCTCAGCGACCGACCTAAAAATATGAAATATCGGGTCGCGTTTTTTTTTCCATATACCTCGGCTATTTACGATACCCTTAGTTTTCACAAGTTTAAAAAAAAAAAAAAAAATCTGACCGACCGACCCAATTTTTCAATTTTCCGACTTGAGGGCAACATACTGTAAAACATGTTGAAAAAGTAGCATGCAATTTTAGCGAATTGTGGTAAAATGACGTAATAGCGAAATGTTGATTTAGCGAATCTCTCTTGTCGTTGTTGATTTCTTTGTTTGGCGGCCATTTTGAATTGACAATAAAGTCATTAGCGACATCTTGAATTAGCAAATCAGTTCTCTCGCCAAATTCGCGAAAAAGACATGCTTGCGAAAAAGACATGTTTTACAGTAAGTTTTTTTTTTTGACCTAATGTTTGAAGTTTGAACAAAATCCAGTTCCGGAATGACAAAAATGGTTGATTTTGATGAATTTTAAGCACAAATTGTGAAAAGAATGAACATGTATATGTGAAGTTGTGATTGGCCGTATGGTCAAGTCCCTGTTTTTAAACTGCATCCAAATGGAGATTAATAATGCATACCCAGTAAATTTTTTATTTTTCAGCTTACAAACTCACCTTCACCGTCAGCTTGGTAGTCCTCGTCAGCTGAGATAGCTCTAAATTTGAAAAGAAATGCAGGAGTTCATCAAAACTACAATAAATTGGCAAGACGAATGAAAAATTTCCCCATGCTTCCGGTTTTGTAAAATTTCTTCCAAAACGACAAACCAAAATTTATCAGTTGATGCCATGGTATACTAAATATAAATATATAAATATGTTATTAGTGAGACACTAATTCTGTGAGTACTGAATTTACGTTATCAGTAGCATATGTGCTTTGCAGAGGTGTGTCTATGGTCAAAATAAGGTACAATAGGTTCATTCACATTTCCGACAAGTGTACAAAGCTCTGAAATTTCTTTTTACCTCTGTTGTCTTCGCTTCTTTGGTTTCCTGCCAGACGGTGGTTTAGATCTTGGTGTTCTACCTGTTTCACCCTCACCATCAGCATCCGGACTGTCATCAGCTAAAATATAAACAGTTATTCATTCACTAAAGATGGAACTTGAGCGGAGATTTGGTTGTAGAACCCAGGTGCTTTTGTTGGTCAAGATAGAAATCAGGATTGCAAGATGATAGAAAGATGGTCATACAACCTGTCATATAGTCCCAAACATGAAATGCGTTTTTTGTGGCACAATACTTTCCCATTAATTACACATCTTAATACAATTTTTTGAAAAAATATGCACAGATAGTCTAGTTCATTTTGTAGAAGGTGCCAAAAGCTAAATTTGGCGTTCAATGAAAAAATTTAATTTTGTATCCAGAATTGACAACAAATATTCAAAAAAAGATTAAAGACAATGATTTCAAAAAACAAAATCTGATCAAATCAGTATCAATACGTTACATCAAAATAATTTTCAAGAAGATAAAAAAGAATTTAACTGTAACTATCAAGATTTTGACTAAATAGATCTGGTCGGTCATCAACAACATCTGTGTAAGCCTATTAAAGTAATTGAGGCAAAACAATAGTTTCGCTTCTAATTCCAAGGGAAATTGAAAAATGATGTGATGATATTTTTTTTTTTTTTGTATTTAAGATTATTTAAGAAGATGCATTTTATTCCTAACAAGACAAAGTACAGATATGTGCATTCTCCCCTCAACTGCACAAGTCATACCTTTTGGTTTTGCTTTCTTTTTCCTTGGAGTATCTCTCTGTGATTCTAAGTGACCATTCTGTTCTTGTTGTAAGATCTCCTCGCTAACGGACCGTGGTATCCGAGGTTTGCTCGGTGTATCTACAGTATCAAAAGGACAATAATAACAATCAAATAAACGCTGTAAGGTTATTTTCAAATAAATATGTCTCCCGGGATGGCATCAGATTATACATGTACATGTCAAACATTTGATGGCTGTAATTCAGTTCTATGTTTTTTTATATATTTGATTAGTTATACCATAGACCATCCAGTAGAGGATGGTCTATGGTTATACTGTACAGTATTCACATTTGTCACAGTAAAATGGGATGGTCTAGACTTCTAGACTTAGTTCTAAACATAATGAATAATCTATTATAAGTACACACAGATCACTGTTTACTTTTAGGCAGTTTTGTTTCCCCTTTTTATGTCCCTTTCCTGTTTTCCTAGTTAAATAGTTTCACTTGTATCAATAAAATGTTGTAATACAATTATTATGATTATTGTAAAACATGTCTTTTTCGCGATTTCAGCGAGAGAACTGATTCTCTAATTCAAGATGTTGCTTATGACTTTATTATAAATTTAAAATGGCCTAGGCTTGGGGATTTGTATACAGTAATACGGAACATAAAAATCTGGGGCGTTTCTTATTACACTTGACAGTTTTTCTTTGTGTTTATGGAGGTGATAACTGCGCATTTGTTGTGGCACGTGACAGACAAGTATTGTGAAAACAGGAAATCAACAATGACAAGAGAGATTCGCTAAATCAACTATTACGTCATTTTACCACAATTTGCTAAAATTGCATGTCGCTTTTTCAACATGTTTTACCAGTATATTCCACCCACAAAAACAGCTACAGAATTGTTGAATGGTTTTCTTCATAACCCAAGTTAAAATATTAGAACATTTCTATACCCTTTGTTCTCCTTCGCCTTGCTGCACCTGGTGATGATTTTAAGTTATTGATATGGTTTTCATCACCACGTAAATCCACTGTGTAAATGAAAAAAAACCAAATTTAACACAAAATGAATCAAGAATGAACAGCATATACTAGTAATACACCACCTATCGAGTTTGCTCTGTGAGAAGCGTATTTATTGTGTTGTGTATATTACTTATTTTGACCATAAAACACCACTGTAATTGATGATTTTCCATTCACTACGAGATCTCGCATATTGCGTGCAAGACACGGACCAAATATGTGCCGCAAAATCAAGTAATTTCATTTTGAATTTCCTTTTTATAGCTCAATGTCGAAATGCCGATATTTGAGATAGGAATATTGCATAAGATACCCTTACTTCATCAAAATCATAAAATGACAATCATAAAATGTTTATAGCACATTAATACATGTAAGTGTGAAAATAAACCTAAAATATACAACTGTATGAATGCCATGCAACGTTTTGTTCTGTTTTTATGATTTCAAGCATAATGCAACCCCTTGTGATAACTGAAAAATGGTCTATTCACCTAAGCATACATGTATGTGCTATTCAGAGAGCAAATACGATATAGTTCACACGTCATGTGTGCTTCAAAAACAGCATTAACAAGTTTTATTACACATGTTTATGCAAGGAAAGACACTTATATACAAAAAAAACTTTCTCCGCCTTAAACAGCTATTTGTACCGAATAAATACTTGGCAAAAAATATAACATTAATTAGTTTATTTATTTGCTTCTTCTTCTATTTCTGGTGATTTTCATTTAAATGACATAAAGGTATGAGGTCGATTGTAGTACAGTAAACGATGGTCTAATGGAGATGGTAAATCTACACAACGTAGGTGATTTGGAAATATTTTGATCCCAATCAGTGATCAAACTGGGCTAGAAAACATATACCACAGCTCTACAAGACCTGTAAACTCATCACTGCACACTAAGTGTAAATTACACGTACATTAAATGAAATCTTGACATTATTTTCAAGACATTTTATCCTACCTTCAGCTCCACTTTCAAATTCATAACCATGCCTAAGTTTGGCTGATGTAGCTTTCCTTTTTCTCTTCTTTGGCGTCTCACTCAGGATGTTTTCACTGCTTCCAGACAATGAGTGCAACCTATCTTCAGTTTCCCCATCCTCAGCATGCGGTCGACTCGTGCTTGTAGTTGCCGGGGAATCGCTGTTATCGATGCCTGTATGGAGCAGTAAGCATTAGTTTAATACTACTAGTAATTGAATGATGAATTGATTCAATGTTCAAAAGTGTGCGTATATAGAACGATACTGAATCCAATATGGTAAAGTTCATTTTCGCTATGAAATCCAGTGTAAATACCTTTTTTTTCCAAAATTTTACATTCAACTCATCAAAAAACAGTAAAAAATAAATTTCATACAAAAGTGTTTTACAGTAGGCTACTGTTGGGAAAATCAGTTATGTAATTAAAGAAATTATCATTAAACAAGTTTCAAATCAAAAAATTTAATGCGCTGGTACAGAATGCCTCAAATAACATGTTCCTAATGCTTCAGTCACTAAATGTTATTTATTTTTTTGTTTGGAATGCATCAGAGTAAGTGTATGAAGGTTTTCAAAGCAGTATCTAGTTTGATACACAAAGTAAAGAGCAGATCACTAACATAATGACTGAATTCACTTACCATTGGTCAGAGGCTTCTTTTTCTTTTTTCGTTTCCCACTTTTCAGAGACGAGATAGGTTCTGTAAAGATGGATAAGTGACAGTCAGTTGTTGAGTATTTGACCTCGGTAAAATTCATCAATCTCACGAACCTCTAAATCATGCAACTAATCAGAGTTGCCGTAACTTATGGCAATAAAATTAAAATTTAGTGGGATGTCAAATTGCCATAGAGAGCATGCTTTGATATAGCATCTGCCAGGTATGAGGCACTGGTCTATTAATTTCCGGATTTCCGTGACAGTTGATATTAGTTACGGTATATTTATTATGACAAGAATTGCTTTCTTTATTGCTTCTTTTTTGCATCTAATCTACTGAGAATCATACTCCCAAGTCGAATATCTCAAGTTTTATATTCCTACGTGTGTGTACACCTACCAGGATCACTGCCAGAGGTCAGTGGTGGTAAAGAACGGGGTTTGTAAGCCAACTAGAAGACAAAAATAAAAAAAGCATTATTGATATTAGATCATCAAATCACAAAAGTTCCTAGCAATGAAAATTAAACAGAACACAATATTTCATCCACAATGGGGTAATATAAAATGTATGGTAACAAGATCACTCTGACACAGAAGAAATAAACCAATTGCTAACTGAACCCAAATATACTGAAAGTGTAATCTGAGAGGCATAAGGTACATGTATATTGTGTAGAGTATATTTTACCTCCATGTGTAGACCAGGGAGCTGTAATGAGATTTGCAGCTCCTTGTGTAGACCTATAGTACCTCAACTTTTTGGTGACATATTCCAAATTTCATCGCAAATGTCCTTCTCTGTTCACAGGCAATATATGTGTGCAGTTGCATGTTCTGTGCAGGTGCCAGGTAGTGATAATTAATTATATGTTATTATCACATGTTGAGTGACCGAAAGGCATAAACGATTTATTTACCCACACAGTGACCGCCTCATCATTAAAAAAGAAAACTTTGTTAAACTAAGACCGGTGTAGTGGGAGATTCATCACGACATGGAGGTAAAAAGATATCTCTTTTTACCTCCATGATCACGATAACTAAAATATAATTTTGATATACTGTATATAGTATACCTAAATTTATTTCTAAAAAATCGCGTTTTCTAATTCATGATTCAATAGTCAATGGTTATATACAAGTGCGTCGCCTTGTACCATACCAGGCAGCTCTACTCTGACATAATCAATTCCGTGAACAAAACGACTCGACAAGGGTCGATTGTAAACCGCCGCTTCTACTGTAAGGCACTGATTGATAACGCAGTTCCATTAGTATGCCACATAAATTCACGAATATTCGCTGTCATTACTGCGCCAACAAAAATATAACCATGATCTCTAAAATATTAAGTGCTAGATATAAAGCTAAATAATTGTCAAAACTGAACTTATGTTTGTAAACACTAACTAAAACTGACTACAAACAACGAAACATAACGTTACGTGGGGGTGATCTCACTTAATAAAGCTACGGCAGCAGCCAATATCACACACTGCTACACATATACCGTGTTTATCAACACGTAAATATGATCTAAGAGTGTCGAAAGCGAATAAAACAGCCCAGTTACAAAATGTCAGGCAACGAAAATAAAATACTTACAACTTCCGTCGCCATTTTGAAATTCCACAATATTGGCGCATGCGCAGATCCACCCGGTTATCGCTGAACATTTTACGCTTGGTTATGGAAATGAAAGCAAGAATCTCGACGTGTCCGATGTTCAGAACCTCTTGCCAGCCTGTCTTATAGATAAAATCGTGTTTAATGCTGTAAATTTCACCGTCAAAACAAATGTGGTTGAATTGCATAAACAAATACGTCTATTATTTCAGACACTCACAAAACTGAGGGCGCACTTCAAATCAGTATCAGTTGCCCGAAATGTCATCGTAAAAAATGAAAGTCCGATTAATTAACAAGTTCAGTCAATGAGAGGTGTAACCCATATTTTACGGAAATTGAAAAAGGATTTACTTTTTTTTCAATAAAATAGTAAACTATTCTTGGAGACTTGTGATCGTACGTGGCATTTTTTACTCTCGTTGCAAGAAAAAACGAACCGACAACATCGCGGCATACAACATTATTTTAATTGCAATACTGTTTCTCAAGGCTGCAAGGAAAAGAGCAGAAACAAATGAAAATGCTACAGATGTTTACACTTGCGTCCGTTACCCCACGTTTGCCGGCGTTTTTGCCTAGTGGAATATCCCATTCCACTGTAGAAAATGCACTGCTCAACAAAGTAATCATACTTCATATTTAAATGCAAAAGCCACATTTTTTTTTATTTTGACCTTCGTCAAACGTAATTTCCAACATTTTTATTTTCAACGCAAATAGGACACACATTCATTTCGCTCGGTAAGATGGGATAATCCCAGTTTATAAATCGGTCCGTTTCTTATAGTTGTGTAATTGCAATGCTAGCTAACATTAAAATAATTGTAATATTATTTTATTTTAGTACAAATAATATTCATCTGTATCCGAACGTTTTATTTTGTTTTATTACTAAATATTATACTTCATCATAGTATATGTACGCCCAATTTTCTACGCGAGTTCAGTGGCAGTGGAAATATAGTTTCGCACAGTAAAAAAAAAAACAGTTTATTTATATTTATTTTATGGGTTTGTTTGCAAGAGAAAATTTCAAGTAAAACAATACAATTTAGGCAATGTCACGTTATCAGAATCACACAATTGTTTCTTGGTATAATGAACTCGGTTCTACTCACGCTGTTCCTGAAAAGATCGAACAGTCAATATAATTAAAGTGAGAGGGTCGTCACCTGCGCACGCTCAGGAATTGAGTCCCAAGCGACGATAACAACACACGCTAAAAACGGAAAGGCTTATGGGTAGACGCTTGTTTGTAAATAATGACACGCTATGGCCATCTGACGCATGCGCAGGTGACGACTCCTCCGCTTTAACTGTTTCAGCTTTGCCGTTTATTTTGGTATAACGTTCGCTTGAAATTGTAATTGCCAGTTCACTAAAATATTCAGTGCAACCGAACTAAATTAAGTATATCTCAAATCGCGAATTGGTCATTTCTCAGGTTGTTAAATGTCGATGCTCTCTTCGTATCTCAAACATAAAAATCGTTCGGTATTTCACAAAAACTTAGTAATTTTAGTGAATTGTTATTCATAGCTTGGTGTAGAAATGTCCAATTTATCAACTGCGAAGGTTGGGTTTCGATTCACGCAGTAAATAAGAAAGTGGACTACTTTCACGCCTTTTGGCAGACCAGTCGGTCGCATGGTATGTTCTACAGAAATTGAACGTACTTGTACCTTGTAACATTGTATCTTGTTTAGGGTTATCTTTACGCTTTAACTCACTTTTCCGACCAGTTCTTTTCCAGAAATGTCTGTAGCATTTCATTTTATTTTTGCTTTCAAGTTTTCTTCCCAGTTTAGACTTGCT